GTTTAAGAGTTTTTAAGAGTTTTAAGAGTTTTTAAGAGTTTTTAAGAGTTTTAAGAGTTTTTAAGAGTTTTAGCCAAATGCTTTATAATATAGTATAGATATAGATATACACACACACACATACACACACACACTATATTATAAAACATTTGACAAAAAACTCTTAAAAACCATTTTTATGCATGAAGTACTGTATAGTGATGCTTATTACTTAAAATTCAAAATTACAAGTAAATTATGTTTAAGTACAACTTATTAAAGCTCCATGTTTGAATTCGTGTAACTAACTGCGAATAAACATAACCAAATAGAGAATAAACATCTCATTTTAAAATATAAAAAATCTAAAATATATATATTGATGCATATTATTTAAAATTCAAGATTACAAGTAAATTATACATAAGTACAACTTATTAAAGCTCCATGTTTGAATTTGTGTAACTAACTGTGGATAAACATAACCAAATAGAGGATAAACATCTCATTTTAAAATATAAAAAATCTAAAATATAATTAGGAAATTATCGAGTTCTAACAAAATAATTAATTATTATCTTTATAAGAAAATTATATTATTAAACCAAATATAAATTACTTCGTTATTGAACCTAAATTAAATTATAATAAAAAAATGAATTAAAAAATTGCATAAAAATATGAATTTTAAATAGTTAATTTGATGCTAATATCAATATATTTTTATCAAATTTTTATGATATCTTAAAATTTATATTTTATTAAAAAAATAAAAATATTATCGTTTTTTTAAAATCACATAATTATACTATAGGATCGATTGAGATAAAAAATAAAATGAAATATTAAAATCAAGATGTAATTCACTACATTACACGAACACACTTCTAATATATATATATTTATCATGTCCAAAATACCAAACACATCCTTGTAATCCCCTTACACGATTCTCACCCTATGATGTTTTTTTAGAGTATCTATTTTGTTTTCTTATCATTTTAAAAGATCATCTTATTTATGAAGAGTTCGGAACAGAAATCATATGATTGTGGCCACAGAAATTTAAAAATATCGTAAAGTGTAAAAAGACAACACAAATTTCTTATCTTCACATCTGCCGTTGCCATTGGCTTTCTAATTTCCTCCATCCAATTCACAAATATCCATTCCCTTTTCTTCTTCACTCGTAGTATATCTTCCATTTCTCTTTGCACTCTTCACTCTTCATTTTCCTCAATCACCATGGCTGCCTCAGTGAGTGCCGTTGTCTCCCTTTCATCTTCCAAATCCAATGCAATTTCAACTAGAACATCCCTCGTCTCCCAAGAACGAGTCTCCTTCGCCAAGGTATTGTGATTCACTGATTTCCCCCCTTCCAATTTTGCTTTCTTCTTCTACATTTGATGTGGGATTTGCATATTTTCTATCTATTGAAATGGGGTTTGCTTAATTTGTGTTTATTGAAATGGGGTTTGCATAATTTGTTTTTATCGAAATGGGTTTTGCTTAATTTCGTGTTTATTGAAATGGGGTTTGCTTCGTTTGTGTTTATCGAAATGGGTTTTGCTTATTTTGTGTGTTATTGAAATGATCGGTGCATTGGTAAGCTTATTTGATTGTTAGTTCATTGTTAAATGAATATTTTTGCAATCAAACAGGAATAGAATGTATGAGATTACCCTTTATTTTGAAATCCAAGAGCATATTGTAGATCAAACTAAAAATCATCAAAAAATGGCGGCAAATAGATAATTTTTCCTCATAATTTTGGGGAAAATGAAATATAGCAATCAATTCAAATGTATGATAGAATGCAATTTATAGCAAATCTGTAGCCGAAAGCGATAACTGTACAACTAAGTCATAGCTATCAGTTGGTCTTAAATATCTTTCGCTACTGATTTTCCTATGGAACATTAAGATTAGCAACAGAAGAATCTGTAGCATATCTGTCGCTGATTCGTAACAAATCAGTGGCAGATAAGTCCGTAGCAAATAATTGGTCACTGTTTCCCCCTGTTTCTTGTAGTGACATCTAAACACCTCCTTGAACTCCAATAATCACTATTATGAAAAATAATGATTTAGAAGATGAGGGCAACATAAAATCTTGCAACATGGCTCGGAGGCGATTATGTAATTTAGCTTATAAATTTGCCAAAGAATAAGAAAATTTCCATATAATATGATGACATTACTTGCTGCAATATTTTGTTTATGTAACAAGGGCTATTTAGTAACCATGATCATTAGTAATACCAACAAAGATGACTAGAAGATGCATGTTTTTGCATAATATGAGAAGGGTGTTTGATTATTTTATGTGAACCGAAATTAATGTTGTAGCGATTGCATAAACTATGAGCAATCACTGCATAAATTGACGGAAATAATCATCCAAATTCTACATTTTATAATCATGCCATGTGAAAAAAGTGTAATACTGACAATATTCTAAATGGCGTGATGTGTGACAAGTTTTAGGAGTCTTGGGGAATCACAACGTCTTTAACTGTGTGGTTTAAGGTGGCAAGTGGGTTAGAAATATTATGGCTGTTTGCATTAAGCGTATAAGTTCCTTACTAAATGGTGAAGCCGCTTCCAAACACTTGAATATGTCTGACCAAATAAGTTAGAGGCCTCTTTAAGCTCTTTCCAAACAGGCCCTACGTGTGTTACAGGGTTGGGTTCAAGGGGAAAATCTAAAAAATGAGAATGAAAAAACCATGATAAAAACAGATGAAAAAGTATATCAGTACGGATTTCAAATTAAAGATGATAAATGATTCTTTTTTTGTGTAACGTGTTACGGTTTGATTTTGACTATATTGCATCTATTTTCCGTTAAGAAATAAGGGGGAAGTTTTTTAATTTAAAGATAAAGTTGTAACTACCCCTTAATCACGTCCATTGGATCAATTAGTCTAATGCTTGATGGAGAGTTCCCTATAATATTGAACAATTTAAATTCATATTCACATATAAAGCTTACAAAAGGTATAAACCTTGAGGTTCATTTTTTTCAAAAAGAAGTCGAAAAAAGTGCGCCTTGGCAGCATGCCACAGCTGCATCTTGAATTAAACAGCCACCATGGAGGTTTACAGAACATGAGAGATGTTTCTTTCCACCATGGCGTGGCTTTTAGAACACTATATAACTTTGGGTGCTTGCTACCCACTTTTTGTGCTTCCTATATGTTCTTTTTGTAAGTTTCTTTATTTGCATAAAGTTATATAGAACAGTAGCATGTGTACGCAAATTATTGATTTTTCTTTTTGTAGATCCTTTTCTGAAATGTGAGTTTGGTCTTTCTCCATGTTTTCTTGGCTCATGTTTAGGTACCATATTACAAAAATGTGTCATCAAGTGGTAAATTGTTTTCAATTAGAGCTCAAATCACAACAGAGGCTGAGGCTCCTGCTAAAGTAGAGAAAATTTCAAAGAAACAAGAAGAGGGTGTGGTTACAAATAAATACCGTCCAAAGGAACCATATGTCGGTCGGTGCCTTCTTAACACCAAGATCACAGGCGATGATGCCCCCGGTGAAACTTGGCACATGGTCTTCAGCACCGAGGGTATGCCTAATTGCCTTTTCCTTCCCTTATATTCTCAACAATAATCACTAGCTTTAGCTTTTCTTCTTGTGCTAGTAGTTGTCAGTATTGCGCTTTTTGGTTATGTTTTATTTTACCTATTTTCTTCATATATGTCCCCCAGGCTGCCTTGTTTGTTTAATACACATTGCTTGATTGCATACACCCTCACCTGTAGCTTGCACTATTTCTTCTTCTGATATAATTTTTACAATTTGCGGGTAGAGGAAAAACTGCATACATTTTACCTCCAGAAGGTATATTTAGGTATATAACATTGAATGAGATTTCAATTAAATTCATGACCTTCTGATGAGTATGAAGCCATTTTCTTTTGATAGGTCAAGAGGTCATGGATTTAATTAAAATCTTGTGTAAGTTTATATGCCTAAATTATCCGACCTTGGGTGGGATTTAAATCCGCTTCGAGTCTTCTTTGTTATCTTCAGGGTCCAATGGGATTAGTTGAGGTGCGTGCAAGCTGGCCTGAACACCCACGGTTACCCAAAAAAGACAATTGAGTTATAATTTTAAAGTAAAGTAAAATCATGTTGATTTGGATTCCAAAAGTTATTCAAAGTAAAGGAAAAACAATTGAGGTTGAATTTGAAGTGGATTATGAAATCATGGTGTGTGTTTGCTGGTGCATGCTTCATAAGAGCTACAGTTTGAATCTTGGAAATATCTATTAATAATCTGTTTTTCTATATTCAAACGTTTTTTATAACAAAAATGTAGAAGTTAAAGATTCAACCTTTGTTATATTCTTGAAAGCTAAGTGAAATCAAGATTGGTTTATTGTTTGGCTGGATCAGGTGAGATCCCATATAGAGAAGGGCAATCCATTGGTGTAATTCCAGATGGGATCGATCCCAAGAATGGAAAGCCACACAAACTGAGATTGTATTCCATCGCTAGCAGTGCTATCGGTGACTTCGGAGACTCCAAAACTGTAAGCATTTCTACAAAATCCCCTTGTTCGTGAAACCCTTTTGACGAGCCGGGTCTTTTAGTTAAATGACCTTATATGAGTTTTCAATTAGAAGCTCGACCTTTATTAAAAAAAATCAACTCAGTAGCCTTCTAATGACCTGTGTTTGGTGTTAATTGCCTCTGGTGTAAAACACCCTACTCTTGTAAAATCTCTGAAATAAACACCCGAGTAGGTTATTTAACTAAATATCCTTGAGGAGCCTTGGTGTGCCAAGATCATCTTTCATCGTACCTTCAAATCAGGGTCTTTTGGGTTAATGACCTTTAATGAGTTTTTAAATAGGACCATGACCTTATAAAAAGATTAGCACATTGACCTTCATCCAGAGATGCACAAAAAAGCCCAAGCCTGAAGCGCGGGCCTAGTGAGCCCAAAGCCAAGTCCAGGCCGGGCCTTAAAGGCGATCAGGCCGAAATTTTGGGGGCATGCCTGGGCCTAGGCCCAGTCAAAAAGGCCCGACCGGGTCCTTTTTAAACCCCAAAGCCCGTCCCGTCCCTGGACTATAAAAGCCCGGGTCTTTTTTCTCACTGAAAACGGGCTTGGAAGGCCCAGCCCAGGCTTCATCTGACATGCCCCCTGTTTCAAACCAGTCTGCCACTGTAAAAACTTAGAAATAAACTAGAGGGTCATTTTGCAAAACCAGCATCTGGAGGTCATTGAGCTAAATAGCAATCCTTTTAAATTCACAACTTACGTTTATATCCGGTTTCTGAACTTGATGTTTTATTTAGGTCTCTTTGTGTGTGAAAAGACTTGTCTACACCAACGACCAAGGCGTAGAAGTTAAAGGAGTTTGCTCTAACTTCCTGTGTAAGAATAAAATCCTTGACTCCTTCCTTCGTTTATTTTATTTTATTTTGTGGTCTGAATCTTTTATTTGCGATCATGGGTATCGTTTAAAATGTTTGTTTATGACTCAGGTGACTTAAAGCCTGGATCTGAGGTGCAAATAACCGGTCCAGTAGGAAAAGAAATGCTTATGCCAAAGGATCCTAACGCAACTGTTATAATGGTGGTTTTCCGCTCTTTAATACGACTTTCATACTCCCGCCCTCCCATGAAAATTGCAACATTTGACTAGTCAACAATACAAATAAAAGAACTCTATTAGCCAAAATCAAGATCATCATTTCTTTGTAGCTATCATCATGGGCACACATACTATTTCCATTCTAAAATAAATGTCCACTATGAAAGAAGGCGCATAGTTTTAGAAAATGACTATTTTACCCGGTAACGAGGGAGTAATGAATTGGAAAAGTAGAGATTTTCTTTTAAAAGTGATTATTTATTTTAGAAAAACTAAAGTAGAAATTCAAGACACTTATTTTGGGTCCATAGAGTATATAACTTTAACTTGAAACTTTCTAAAAAAGGAAAGGGTTGCACTTTTCATCGGATGGATGAGAATAACTTGTGATTCCAAACCATGGGTTTCATTGCTAATGAACTTCTCCCATTGCAGCTTGCAACAGGAACTGGGATTGCTCCATTTCGCTCATTTATGTGGAAAATGTTCTTCGAGAAGCATGAAGACTATCAGGTACCGTTTACTTGAATGAAAGTTGTTGCCCTTATAAACAGTTGGTGGAAAAAGGTTCTCAGTTGATTCCTAATTGCAGTTCAATGGTTTGGCATGGCTCTTTTTGGGAGTTCCCACAAGTAGTTCCCTGTTATATAAAGAGGTAAAAACTTATACCATCTTGCAAGATCAAAAAGTTATAGGAATGCCTAAATTTACGTTTGATTTTGATGAAATCTTTCAGGAATTCGAGAAAATGAGGGAGATGAAACCGGAGAACCTGAGAGTTGACTTTGCTGTAAGCAGAGAGCAAACTAACGATAAGGGCGAAAAGATGTACATTCAAACCAGAATGGCTCAGTACGACAAAGAACTATGGGAATTACTGAAGAAAGACAACACGTTTGTGTATATGTGCGGGCTTAAGGGCATGGAGAAGGGAATTGATGACATTATGGTTTCATTGGCTGCTGAAGATGGTAAGAAAGTCAAAAACTCAAAATCAACATGCATTCCCCCCCCCCCCCCAAAAAAAAAAAAACCAAAAAAAAAAAACCCTATTAGGATATGTGGAACACCTATGAAAATCTCTATGGAAGGGTTTGTTGGATTCACACATCGGCTAGACTTGGCACTTTGTCCTCGGTATGTTGGAAGCTTAGGGCCCTTTTGGAGAATAATCTAATGGGGTTCCACATATTCAAACATAATATCTGAGTTGCGGTCTAGCACCACTTAGGGATGCAACACACTCTTTCCCCTCTGTCTAGCCTTTGTTTGGGAGGGGTGTGTACATTAGCTACAAAAGGACATGTATACGTGTTGGGACCTTTCTTCTCTCTATAAAGGTTCTTTTAGAGAGTAATCTAATGGGGTTCCACACAAAACCCTTGTAGAAAGATGGGTGGTTCTTTTATATATATATATATATATATATATATATATATATATATATATATATATATATATGTTTGATGGTCCATACCTATCTATCGTGGGATTCCAATATACCCCCTCAAAGAGAGGTTACACATGGCCCCTAAGAAATCGAGTCCCTAGTTGGTGTTAAACCATGATTCTGATACCATGCTAGCATTTACAGAACCCCTGAGAATCTCTCTCTAAAAGATCCCTTATAGAGAGAGATGAGAGACTCCTACATATATATATACAGGTTGATAGTATGTGTCTAACCGATATGAAACCCTATCACATCCAATGCACATTCGGCGGGTAGTGGTAAAATTACACCAATACCCTCATTCACTCTCTTTTCTTGTTTCTTTATATCATTGTTCTCTTTGTGTTTTTGGTAGGCATTGATTGGATACAATACAAGAAGCAATTGAAGAAAGAAGGACAATGGAATGTGGAGGTGTACTAAGTGGCTTTGTTTCTTCTTGTACAAATGCAGCCCTCTCTTTGTAGATAGGTAACCTCCTATTTTTGTAATTTGCATATTTGACCTTTTTTTTTTCCTTTTTTTTTTTCCTTTTTTTTTCTCTTTAATTTCCATCAAAACCAAGTCTATGTTTATGGGATTCCCCCCAAATTTTAGTATTTTTTATTTTACTTTTTGAGGGCATGAATTATAAAAGTATACTACAAGTATGGGAATAAGATTATCCTTGAGTGGTGTAGTTGTTTTCTTGACTCCATATGAGCTATCTGAAATGACAAAAGGGTAAAAACGGAAAAAAGAAAAGAGATATCTGATAACATTTGATTCGGTTTCATTCGTCTAGCTTTGGATGCTTATTTCGAGTGCCCAGAAAGCAACAAGTTCATAAGGATATGGAAATGGTACGACATTATGTGAGAGAGCTTCACCAGCAAAAAGAGTGTAATACTGTTAACAAATTGTTATCTGGTTCATACTATTTACAGGTTGTGGTATACGTATCTGTGATTCCATATATGTACCCGAAGTCATTCTTTACATTATACTAAAGAAAGTGCTCACGGGGTTGTAACATCTTTTCCATATCTCGAGTTTGTGTGTTGGGATTTATTCGAGCATTTTATGCCATCAATATATATTCGTTTAGGCATTTACGATAAATTCTTCAAATTCAAAAGAATGGTATCCATATTAGTGGCTGGAAAATTAATAATTTAATTGAAGTCTAGAAACAACAGGTAAAGTTGTATTCTTTTTTATAGCAGTTCGTTGTTATAAACTATAAAAATAGTAATTTCACAAAATAAACAAAAAACGGATTTTATGTGACGATTTTGTTGTCGTTTAATGAGATCAATACATGGAATTACGTATACGAAAATTAGCTTGGCCAATTGTTCGAAAAACTTATTTGTGAGGGGTGTTAAAGAATTCCTTTAAAAAAGGAGTCCTTTATAAAAATATCTCTTACACCCCACAAACTTTTCAAATTTTGCACATCACCCCTAATGTTTCGTTTTAAAACCAAACCAAGTCCTAGGTGAAATGTACGGCAGACTTGTCTCTACTTTCAGTATTTGGTTTTTCATGTTATAAAATCAGACGAACACGTATCTATGATAAATATATCTGGGCATATGATGCACCTATAATTCGATATGATCAATCAAAAGTCGAAACGATAGTCGATATGTTTTTATTAAGACACATAATTTTTTAGATTTGTAGGTAAAAATCATGCAACTTTGTATTAAAGATTTTTTTGGGTTTATGAAAATAGAAAAATTGTTGACACGTTTTTTGCGTTTTTGAATGAATTAGCTGATTAATAAGGGGTTTGGGAATGAAACAGCGCGAATACGTCGATAAAGTATGAATTTGGTGAACTATGGTGAAAAGAGCTAGTTCCCACAACAAGAGACCATCGATCGTAGCTCACTTCCCAAGTGAATGCAGAGTCCGTGTCTATTTCATCGGCAAACTCAAACAGTTGAAATTGGGATATTGGATACGAAACTTTGAGTTAAAGTAAAAATTCGTTTTAGAGATGAAATGATGATTGCTCTATTATCCAAAGATTTGATTGGTCAATTTGAAAGATTTATCTCAAGAGACTAATGATGAAAAAATTCCTTAAAAAAGCGTCGTGCGATGATCGATAAGCATTGGACAGTTCCCGAGCTCTACCAAGATTCGATTTGTGCCTCACTTAAATTGAGGCTTCGGCTATTAGTTTTGGTTAGAAGTGAGAAGCTATTTAGGGGGTGTTTGAGATTGCTTATAAAAACAACTTATTGACTTATTCTGGTGTGGCACCGGTAATAAACACTTTTGAGTGTTTGGATAAACAATTTATACCGGTGTCAAACCGGTAATAAGGAGTTTTTGAAAAAGTTGTTTCAGATAAGCAATCTCAAAGACTCCCTAAGTTGATGGAGTTTAGCAGAGAGAAACATTTATGACTTTTGAGGATTTTTAATCTATCACATATTGATTCAGTTTTATAAGACTTTTGTATTCGGTTTCTTTTAAGGAATAAAGTTTACTCACCTTCTTTGTGGACATACACCACCATATCAGTGGAGAACTATGTTATATCAGTATATCATTTGCTTTGAGATTTACATCATCAATCTGTTCATTTCGCATTGGTTGTTGGCAAGGTTGCACATTTCTTAAAGTTATATCAGTATTTCAAGCGGTTCCTAGTTACAGGTCGTAACTGTACGACCTGCTTTATCAAAGTTTTTTCATATCCACTCATTTCTTATTCATGTAATTTTATAAAAGTTTTGTCAAAAATGAAATTTTCTTCTATTGAGATAATTACTTTCGTAATTTGTATTTATTTATACATAAAAAAATATTGTATTAATATATTTAAATTAATTAAAATAAATAAT